CACAGCGTGCCGTACAAGCCTTTGGTGCAAGAAGCCTTGATGCAAAGCTTCCTTAAATCGTACATACATTCAAAAGAACGGAAACCATGACGTCACATACTCTAGCTGGGCCTTTCATCTCATTTCCTTCYCCATGGTAGCGTTCTACGCGCTGGGGTTTCTAAATTCATGCATCTAGTTGTTCATAAATAAGTGGGAAGTCTTATAATGAGGGACAAAAAATGCGGACATACATCCGTTCACAGARCACTATAAAAGGTAAAAACGAACATGATATGACAGGTCTTCCAGCTTACGATATAGATGTTAGGCTTTCGTTTAGCGTAGACGGCGTTGTGGAAATTCCCGCTTGATACGTTGCTACGGACGGATTTCCAATGGATCATTCCTTCATTTGCGATTTCCTTGACATTTTCTTCGAGTCAGCTCTATTTGCCTTCAATTCAATAAATTCGGAAAGATTTGGAGAGCTTGGGGTATCAATGACGTGACGTTATCAGTTTTCTTTAGTGTTAGTATGGGAGGGGAGAGTCAAACAATGTTTTGTCAAGGAGATGAATAATGGCGAAGATTTCAAAACAATGTAATGCGGGGGTATTTATTTTTGCATTAACGCGGAACCAATATCAGATGCTGCAGTCTTAGATAAATGTTGATTCTTTATTATGTAAAACAACGCTTAAATACTGGGGCAAGTATCGTTCAATGCGATAGACTGATGCTTTTCTCTGAAAACACTGACGACAATCAATAGTACATTACAGAAGCTGTCAACTAAAAAAAAAATCATTTTGCAAAATTTATGCAATAAGTACATTCGGTTCAAGTAAAAAGATACTGGGCGTTTGCTGCTTAAATGAATAMAAAGTACAATTGAGATGTGGTTAACCTTTTTTCTCGACTGAACAACTTTATCTTGGCGATGATCGTCGCGATTCAAAATATCATGTCTTTTTTACCCCACAAGCAGGTTACCCAGGTCTTGATACAAAATACAATAGCAAATAGCGACTTTTACCGTTTTCCTAATCAAAAAACCTTTTCTTTGAAAACTGYCCTCCTTTATCTGTGTATATTGGTAAATTTTCAGAGTGAAAAACACTAGTTTAATACTTGGTAATTCGCCCGTTGAATTCAAACGGAGACTTTCCCTATGCGAGCATATGTTTGTCAACAATATCAATACRAATGCCATTTATTTCATGTTATCAAATATTAAAATTCCATAGGAAAAAATCGGTCTTATTTATAGTCGCGAATCAATAATAATAATATTTCGTTTGTGTTAGTGTTATTCAATGAWAACACGTCTGTGCTCCATTCGCTCGGTGAACGCGGCTGTCAAATCTGACAGCATCAAATGACAGCTCACAACATCAAATATAGACGTAAATTCACATGAATGAAAAAATGGGAAATTTTCTCAAGTACTTCCATTTTATTTACATCCTATATTCATATTTGCTTCAGGCTTGGCTTATGGAGCGAAATTGAAGAGAAGAAATCTGAAGTCCCCGCGGTCTTCTAAACGCGCCCCAATTCTTCCTTGCTGGACTTCCGATTGMTATCACATAAGCAGTCATTTCCATATTGCATCGATTGATTCTAAAAGCAGCTGACATCTCATGTCTCGCCTATCACGAACCATTGAATCATATCTATATATATACCATCGTATAAATACCCCGTGATGTTTCCAAAACCGAGCATTACGCCTCTCCAACTGATCACATGAACAYTGTACCGTTGACCAAATACAGTCAATTCAAAAAGACGTTTGTATTACACTTTGACCAAACTGTACAGGGACCTGCAAATGTGCCTGAATAATGAATACAGGCGAATATTTTTAAGAGATTGAATATTTGTCAAGTTACTKCTTCTGTGGGCAGTACGAAGAGACGATAATCGCTCGCGATGTCAATTCTTTTATTCTAACTGTTCGATTCGAGACTGTGGTTTTCAATGTATCTGTCAAAAGAYTTTGTGTACATTAAGAAATTGGTCGTCATCGATGGGGAATGTACTTTGCACTTGATGAGGGCGTGGCGCTGTGAATAACTCAACACCATCGTCACTACCGTTGGTTAAAAACGACCAATGAATGTACACGAAAAAAACCCTCTAAGTCAAACTAGTAATTGCATATATTCTATTCTCGACAGGAATTTCATTTTTGGAATGATCAGACTCTGAAATGCAATCGCTCAATAAAATGCCAAATATGAAGATATCAGCAAGCACCGTACTTTATCCCCGCCAAGGAMTCGTAGAGCTTTTGTCCCGAATTATGACATCACAAGGGGCATTCAAAAAGCGGACTCTGTACTCCTTTGGAGCGTTTTGGCAGAGCGGTTAAATTAAACAATAGGTATAAACCCTTTCTTATGACAGCCACAAACAATATTATATTTGGAGCTTAAGAAACCATAGTTCACTTGAAAGGTCACTGAGTTACGTGATATTTGAAATAGGTGAGCCTGCAGGCCTAGACAGATATAATATTGTTGCCTCTTTTGCAAATATAATTCCGGTCAGCTGAGAAATATACGCTGGGGTTGGCATTGATCGGGTGAAGAAAATTATTCATCAGTAACACAATTATCGATCTGGTATGTAAATTTCCTTGTTAATATTATTGCCAGTGCATTTTCTAACGTTTTAATAACATTCCCTAATACCCCCTACCCTTCCTGGATAATATTGGATTTCTACGAATTAAAATTAAAAGGAAATTGAARCTTTAAATTTCCCTTCAGTTTCTTTCAAGCATCACGTAACTTGCAATAAAAATAAATAAGAAATAAAACAAAAAGAAAGTTTGATATGGAAATATATACAGCACTGAAATAAAAAATAAAAAACCCTTTTATTTGGTTGTCTCGCTTATAGCGATAAAGTAATCTCGGTTAAGACGCATAAAGGCCTGTTATTACGATTCGTGATTGTAAAGTATAGCTTTAGATCTGAATAATAGGAATTTACACCTAAGCTAATAATCCACAAAACATATTACGAAATCAGTCTTTCGTAAGAGTTTTGGCTGCAAAGAAAATTGCTAATGCAAATATTTCTGGTATATTTTTCCAGCGGATTCTTAATACTGTAATCAAATACAAGTTACTATAGCGAGCAAACTTCGAAGTGTGTGTGATCGAATGTAAACAGTAGGAGCCTAGGAAGGCTTACCTATGCATAAATCAAGCAATTGGTCACTCAAGCAGTCGATTCATGCAAATCAGTCCCTTGGGATCAATTCRCCGTGCACGTAGTCACGGTAGCTGCATATTCTGGATCAATACCTTTGTACRTAGAGTTTCATGTGATATTCACATGACCGTTACTTTATGTATGCATTATATGTACAATTGTTGTGCAAGAATTAATTTGCTTGAGATTTCGCGTCTAAATTGTTCGCACCAAAACGTTTCGACAGTTGCTTGTCATTCTCAACGACACGACGAAGCTCGACTCGATAAAAAACAAGCTTAGTATTCACACAACTGAATAATAACTAATTCAGGAGGCGGTGATCGATTGTTTACCTCGAATAAAGTCTCTACTAAAATCCTATTGATAAACACCTTCAAATAGACCATTCTTTAGTTTGCCACCTCGGCAGTTCGTTGATCGTCTGGATAGCTAGATCACCTTGTTTGCATAGAGATCTGGTTTATATCCAAGACCGGCTACAGTATTTCAGCAGCTTTGAAGYTGCAAAAAAATTATCATCAACAAAACCTAAAATCACTTAAAACGTGTTRTTTTGTTTGTGTATATGAACGCGTATAAAGTATGAAACGACTGAAGTCATTTTGTTTCCAAACAATGCCTTCATGTACCAAACATGCTGGTATTTTCTCGTCAAAATAATCCCTAGCGTCCATGTTGTTGACAATGTGGCGCAATTTGAATACAATTCCATGATTTCCTAATCATTCAGAAGCTCAGGCCTCCCTCCCCCTACAGTCTGCCATTGAGCCATTTTCACACCCAGAAGTTGGTCCTCCGTCAAAACCCGTTTGTGATTGGCCAATCGCTTGAAAGTCGCATTATGATTGGCTTAGCTTGACAATGCCGTCAATTTATAAGCTTCAAACGTGCAAATAACGCGTGGTGCCTCAATCGTTCCAACCCAAAGGTCATTGTTGGGTTGGGTTTGTCTTTACTGTGAAAGGCGTTGGATCGAAGCTCCATCGAGTGATCACTGAGTTGCCTTCTTTGATTTTTTTAAGCCCTAGAATGGCGACCGAAGTAGAGACCGCTCAACAAGAGGTACAAGAAGTCGAGGCTGAAGCCGCGAAACCAGACGAGAACCACGTTGAAGAAAACAAACCGGCGGAGGAAAGTCAATCGGCCGAGAAGATCGAGGACGCGGTTGTCGATGGTGAATCAAAGAAAGAGGAAAATGGCAGCGTACCACCAAAAGTGATTCTACACCAACATCCCCCATGCGTCAATTTACCGAGTTTTCTRCCTGCGTCGCTAAAGCTGGAAACTTTCATGCGAATGCACAACATTCCCTACGAGAATAAGTACGTCCACAAACTGGGCTCAGATAAAGTGAAGTTGCCATTTATTGAGTATCAAGGCGATAAAGTTCAGGATGCCAACTTCTGTATCAAGTATTTATGTAACAAGTTCAGTCTAACCCCCGATTCTCATCTGAGCGCGGAACAACGCGCTGTTGCTCACGCATTTTCTACGATGGCCGAGGAAAACACGTACTGGAGTCTGGCCTACTATCGCTGGGTGGATAACTTCAACGAAACCAAGAAATACTACAGCAACCTCGCTCCTGTTGTCAAGGACGTACGCCCAAAACTCGAYCAGAATAAGTGCATCAAATGCATGCAGGCCCATGGTATTGGAAAGCACACAAAAGATGAAATATATGGAATTGCCGAGGCCGATTTGCGCGCTATGTCAACGTATTTGGGAGAAAAGGAGTTTTTCATAGATACGACCGATCCCTGCACCGTCGACTGTACCTTGTTTGGTCTCTTGGCTAGCGTAATTTATGGAGCGCCAGAATCGCCGCAAGCCAAGCTCATACACGATGAKATGCAGAATCTCGAGAAGTTCTGTGATAATATGAAGCTGCATTACTGGCTCGACTGGGGTGATGTTTGTAACGAAGAAAACGCCGAAAAGTTCAAGCCGCAGAGCCGACTTAGTATGAAAAATAAGAAAAAGAAGACAAAGACAACCGAAGAAAAAGAGGGAGAAGGCGAGAGTGATAAAGCAGAGGAAAAACCAGCAGAAGAAGAAAAGAAAGAGGGAGAAGAGGAGAAACCAGCCGAAGCCACCGAAGAAGCAGCTCCTGAGCAAGAGGCTGCTTCCGGCGAACCGCCAAAAGAGGAAGAAGGCGCGAAAGAAGAATCAAAAGAAGAGGCAGAACCTGCGAAGGAGGAAGAAAAACCAGCAGAACCAGAACAGTAAAAATGTAAGTATAGCTGTCTTTGTTTCTAGCTTTTTTTTGTGTTATTTATTTCTTTGACTGATAAACGTGGCGCTCTAAGCATGATGTACAAAATGTCGTACAGACAGGCGTTAATAACTTAGGTTTATATATATAAACGTATCCTTGCATAAAGTAATTCATTGACTCTTTGCCCGAATGTCTGCTGTTAAAGCGGAGAAAATTGTCAATCGATTTGTCGAGTTACTCGAGTTGATTAAGCATACCGCATAGAAGTCAAAATACAGCAGTTACGGTTGAGCGCGCCTCTCGAATGAATTCGTYGAGTCTCGAGTCAAATTTTTTGTCTGTATATTTTTGATTTATGGTACATTTGTCCCTATACATTAGAATCTTGATGTGRGAATCTGGCTATGAAATCCCAGGAGTGGCAAAGTATTTTTTTCCCTATTTAGGTGGGGCTGTGTTACGAATCGATAATATTTAGACATTCGTGTCGATCGTACATTTGAAYCCTGCTTTTCTGTAATGCTTGCTTGACTTTCGATTGTATCATACCGAAGTCTGCTATCTAAGATATACAAGTTCGCTTTGATTTTTAGCAAAAGGTGCTTAGATTCAACTTTTTGGCAAAGACTGCTCATGCGGTGTTCGTCCGGCAGGGAAACCTATTGTGTTGCATTATAGAATAGATTTTCGCGGTCTGTATATTCAAATTCAATATTTTGTTCATGGTCAAAAGACCGAGCGCTGCAATTTTTTTACTCCATCGTTTTTGTTCAGTTGTCAGTGGATTTCACAATTGGCCTTTGCTGTCACTATCGATCTATGTTCGAATTTCAACATATTCTTAGCTTACACTTTTAGCAAATATTTGATTTGGGTTTATAAATTGTGCTTGTTTGCTATAGCAGTGAGATATTGCGAAAGATTTCACACGAATATACCAGACGCGTTGAAAATCAAGCAGAAAAATTGACTAAAATYCATTTAAATTTTACATTTGATTAATTCTGTTTCACTCATTATTATTGTTGTGTGAAATCGGATATGTGAGCTTGTCCTATGTCGTTTTCCCATCACTATAAAATGTCGCTTTTTCGAGCGATTGAAATATACATCTGCGATCTGAAGCGGCTCCAGTTAGACGAAGAGCACACGCTGTGACTGATCAATGAAATTTACCTGGGAGCCCCATTAGGGAAGCGTATGAAGTTTGTAGTATTGCTTAATATTCTAGGCGATTAAATATTTGTATTTAAGGAGTGTTGTGCACTAATAGTGTTATGTTTTCATTCGTTTTCTATGTTATTAATATTCTTTTTTTATTTCATTTCTAGTTTTTGCTTAATATGAGAGAACTATTTGCTCCGCACAGCAAGATTTGAAGAATTAATGGATGGAGGCCACAGGGATTTATTCCTACAGTTTGATGAAATTGAGACTTTAAAGTGTGAGCATGTTACTCTTTTCTTCAATATGAATTTTGTTACAATTTTGCATTGTGGCCATGAAGATTCAGACAGTCAACCTTATAAAAGGATGAACCATTATTGTCCCTAGCATTTACTCCATTTATTTGCTAGATAGGAAAATAAATTTAGAACATTTGATGTAGGTAATTTATATTCTGATAATTTCCTTTGGAAGGATTTAATTTCATGTCTAAGGAATGAATATATGAAATGTAAGAAAGCCATTTCCAAGGCCATAAGATATTATTTTTGTTTAAGAAATCTTTCATTTTCTGTAGATCTTACATTCAGTGATATAGCAAATAGTGTACGGAGAAAGTTATTGCACCATTGTACAACATTTGCTTTATCACAATAACCTAGCTTCATCCACACAACTAGCTTATATAACGTGTGTGATTTCAGGACACTATTGATCATAATTGAAAGTGTACATGTGTAGCTGTTAAACTACTGAACTGATCTTTACCAGTAGATATCGTCTTTGCTTCCTTCTTGGACTAGGAGTTCTACTTGTAGCTAGTTGATTTGTAAATCCTGTTTCTGCTAGTTATAACGCTGCCCATTCATCATAATATAGTYAAACAAGATCCCTCTAAAACCAGCAAGGAAGCAAATTGTGCCTGTTATTATTTTTGTTAAAATTTTCATCGTTCAAGTCAAATTTGACTAGCAATGATTGTATGTAAATGTGAAAATAGATAATAGGACTCGAGGAGTTTTCTTGTAAATGTTGCCTTAAATTATATTGGATGGAATATAATACCAATAAAGCCTTCAAAACCATTTGGAATTGTTTGTTCACTGTAACACTGAAAACTGTAACATTACTGTAATATCAGTACATGTGGCTCAGTGATGGATCAGTGGCTAGATCTTCCTTAGTTATTCAAATTCATCAAATGRTTTCACAAGACTGCTGATGGATGTCATGGGTTTAGGTTTCTGATAAATATAACCATCTTCAAGAAACTATTRTTTTGAAAGGGAATACTTTTAAGTAGTGTCTTCTAATTATTTGTTTTACCTATTTAAGCTTACCAATAAGCAATATCTACATTTTTGTCTATAATTTATTGATAATTTGGTTTATTAAGTGCTGAAGTTATTGTTTCATTGGTGGTATTTCACACAAAAAAGAAATTCTTTCTTGACAATGAGTGGTGAATCTTCACATTAGATTGAATAAGTGTATGATCACTATAWATGAAGTGTTCAAACTTGCGCTTGCAAAGGTTTATACCAAATATCCTTCACTTTCAGAACAATCATGGATATCCAACTGTGACATTTTAGGCTGGATTTGTTTAGTTTAGCTCATTAGAAGTGCCAAAGGTCACTTAACATTGAATAGCTCCACATGTTTTTGGTCATGATTGGGTTGTTATAGAACTCAAAGAATCCCAAGAATATATTTCTAGGTTTCAAAAACAAAAGAKTATACTAGGCCACATGTTTCATTTTCATTGTTTGTGAAATTGCAATTTGCAAGGGAAGATAATTATTGTTTTTTTGCATACTTGGCAAGGCTCTTTCAATTGTCCACCCTTTTTGGCCAAAGTCTGACATATGTCATGCTTGTCTGTCTGATTTGAACCTCTAATCAAACTCCTAACTTAAAATATATTATTTTTCCAAATAAAAATTCTTTTTTAAGGCAAGATGATGTGTGATCAAATAATGTGTCAATTTGTTTACAGCTGTCTTTATGTGTTTATGTTTATGATTAAATATTCATGGATATTGAGTTAAATTCATATAAACATCTAACTAAGGCTGTAACGTGCTAATATATCATCGTTACATTAGTTTTCCTATTTTTTCTTAAAAATTATAAAAGTTTCATGCTAGTAATATAATATTTGGGAGCCTATAAAATAAATATGCAACAAAAATAAACAAAAATGAATGCACACAACATTATCATTTGATCTGTTCCATTTATCTGTGTGAGTTATTTCCATCAAGAGGAGTATAAGTTATAGATTGGTTTTAGATTGCTAGCAGCTTGGGGCCCACAAGTATTTGCAACTGAATGATTGCAAATTTTAACTCAGAAAGTAAATAAATTCTGTCCCACCATAATTTTGAATGACAGATGAACACTTGTGCCAGAAGATATCATTGCTAAGTAAACTTCTTATGTCACATGACCAGTGTATGAGACAGTTTTCACATTGAATATATAAYAATTATTGCTCACAGGGCCTTACGCCCAGCTTTGGTTCTAAATCGTGAAATTTTAATTAGCAAGTCCTTGCCAATCCTCTTTATTCTGTCAACTATCATGTTTAGTTGAGTGAACTGACTTTTAATCAGTAATGTGACCCTGTTGCAGTAATATAAGTCGAGAAGCCGTCTCAACGAGTCACGCGCGAGATCAACTTCAGCTGTCAACTGCTAAAAAGCGAGGTCAGCAAGGGGAAGACATATTTACCTTGTTCGCACAGTTCGGGGTTAAGTTGTAAAGAGATCATTTCAGTAGGTATAATAGGTTTACTGAAAACCTTATTGTCTCTTTCAGTTTGTTGAAAAGGTCCKATGATAGCTWGAGGGCTCTGAGGTCAGTTCATGTCAGTCGCCCCATGGATTTGTTTAGATTTTATAAATTTGTCTTTTCTTAACATGTCAATCAAGCCACCTTATCTAAAACTATTTTAACATAAAATACAAAATATTTTCGTATTAAAGCATACCTCATTTGAAACGTTAGTTTTTGATTCACAGACAATCCACACTAACCCATCCCTTGCTACTGTCGTAGAGCGCCAGTCGAGATGACAGTCTCGACAGTCCCGCCTTTTCAGGAGGGGGAAATCTGTGAAATCGAAAGAATATCGATTTAAAAATCTTCAATCCCTTAAGTCATCACTTCAGTCCAATTTCTCATTTCTGATCGATATTTTGTCGCAAAATCGTTGTCGCCTGTTGCGTTACATTTTGCGCGCGAAAATTGCCATGATACTGCATTCTTATGGGTCAGCGAGCACTTTCACTACGATTCAAGATGGCGTCCAATCAAGAAGGGAAATGCAAGCTTTTTGTCCGACATTTGCCCAGTATTCTGAGTAATGACGACAAAATTGACTTGCTTAAACACTTTGGTGCAGTTGAAGTCGTTTGCATGGGAAGGAGTAGCAAGATGGTAAGCCTATTTGTTTGAATTTATGACAAAGCTTACAACATGCAGTTATCAAGATCTTAATTGCATGATTTCCACTCGTTGGAAAAGCGAATCACTTTGTATTTTTAACTTTTGAAAGTAGGCTTGACCTGCAAGGTAATAACATATTGTGACCTTAGTTGGCTAGGATCCGTTGGCTAGTACAGGGGGCGATTTGCTATAACAAAACATTTCAATAGCTTACATGTAAAGACAGCTCTGACAGACAGACAGACAGAAGATTTTATTTGTTGCTTTACCACGTAGATACATTGGTGTTGTCCAAATAATTGCATTTTTTTAATATATTTATTTTCTATGCTTTCTAAACGCTTTGAAAAGAAGTTGAAATATACTTTGTTACAGCAGCCACTTGTGATGTTTTTGGTGGATTCATCAGTAGCAGGAACAAATCTTTTGAGGAGTTGAAGAACTATTTTTTCTTCTAACCATATTTCCTTGAATAGATGCTGTAGCATGTGTTTTATTCATCATGATTCATGTGCAGTGTTTATTTGACGGTGGTCTTTATTCATAAATTGAGGGTATTACATGGTGTGGTGCGCGGTGATGTGGATTTTGTCTTCGAGTGTTGAAAAGATCTCTGACGAGTGAGCATTGCCACTATATAGAGAAGCATCGAATGTGTTAAAAGTAATGGAGAAATTATATAGGTATTTCATAGATAATTATATGATAAATACCTTTATTCTACATTGTTTTGAGCAATATCAAATGCCATATCCCATAACATTGGGGACTTCCATTATCACCAAAAATAATTAGCATATTTATATTAAATTTTAATGATGGYAAAATYAGAATAGATTAATYAAGGCTAAAGGTAAGATTTAAAGTTTTTCCAAAAAATGTTAAWTCCTCTTCAAGTGTCAAGGGCTAGAAGAGTCAAAAAACACCAAAACAAGGCTACAAGACCTCCAATAAAGTTTCATACAAATCCTTGTATTTTTATTCTTCCATAACTTTGTCAGTATTTAGTCCATAGCTTYAAAGCTTTCCACAAACACCTATTTCGTATAGTTCTTTCATATGACAGTGCTGAATGTTTTCATAATATTGTCAATATTGTCAATTGTATAAAATCACTATGAAAGTGGTCTATTTTAGTAATCTTGTAGTAATAATAAAACAGCAAGAATTAGTGCAAAGAAAATGCAAATTTACATTTTGCTAATCTCACTATGAATATATCCATTTCAATATCTGAAGTTTTTTTTCATAGATGATTGGTCAGACAATTTTACTATAATTACTATAATTATTTCTAAACAGTGTTGATTAAACAATAGAAAACAAAGGAATTTCTATAATTAAGCTCATAAATGAGGTCTTGTTTAGAAACAGTTAGTCACTGTCTCTCAACTGTAGCAGTCTTTGTAACAGTATATACTGTACATGAGGGAAATTAAATACAAAGGAAACAACTCACATGGCGAGTGTTCAAGTTGAATAAAGCACACTAATGCCAGNNNTGGCTAATTAGTAATTAGTGTGCATTCATTAGAATCTGTCAAGAACTCAACAGTCTGCCATGAACCAAAAACCAGACCGACATTTTTAATTTGAAATCTGAACTATCCACTTGGTAGATGCAGTAGTCATGTTTTGATGAACAAGCTCTCAATTCCCAGACACTGTCTGTTTTCTTGAATATATTATGTTAACAATGATATTGACCAARGGGATTGTAATGAAAAGCTTCTTTCAATAACAAAAAACCTATATTGAGAATACTGTTCTAAATACAATAGTTACTCTAATTAGACTTATGGCACTTTATCTCACTTAACTTACAATCATTCTAATGCTTTGAAATACAGTCAATTGAAGAAATTTTCAACATGATAGTTGATATTTCGAGAATATTTTGTTATAAAACTGCAGAATATTTTTGAATAAACATGAATTAACATGATTTCTTCAAAGTATTCAAATGATTTTCAATCTAAAAAACAGATTTTCAATCTGTTTTAGCAAGAAAAAKCAAAAATTACTTAAAACTACTCATGATATACCTAACATAATCATTATGTAAACAGCCAGAGTTTTGACCAATCAATGTACATAATTTATAATATTATTGATAAATAAATCCTTGTCYAATATTCTCACTCACTGACCATCATCTGCATATGCCAGCTCCCCATTTGAATATCATAAGCCTGGTTACATTAGATAGGGTTCCTATAGGTAATAGAGCCAAACTCTTTTGTTTTCTTTTCCATTGAGGATCATATAGAACAAAGAGTTTTGCTCTACTGCCTAGGGGTACTCTATCTCATGTAAACAGGGGCATAGACACACAATACGGTGTACATGTATAAAATTCATTGTAAGTTATATGATGTATAGAATACAGTATACAGTACATGTATAAAATTCAGTGTGCATTATATGAAATGTAGCCGTACATGTGTAAAATACAGTGAACATGAACA